ACTCACCACAAGAAACAGAGTGGAGGACTAGTACTCATGACTAGAGTCTCTTGTAGGGAGAGCATGATTGTTGTGTATAGATCTATACGGGACTGACAATCCCGCACCTCACTCCTAGCTACAGTTGGACCCGCAGGTCTGCGGGTGACAAAGTCATTAAGGATACAGGCCGTTGCGGGCTAATCCAGTCAGTTATGGTCCTGAAACTTAAAACCTAGATAACAGATATTTACTTTTGTAATAATGAATCAAATGAACTAACCTCAAAGTAATAACTGATAGATTACCGGAGGGTATTACTAATAATACCTTCAGAACTTAGTTCATCTCGGTTTTCTTTTGTTTAGTTTTATTTATGTAATAAGGCTAATATACCTCTGTGGGTGTAACCAGTGTTTTTAAAAGAAAACTGCTTTTATATACATGAGTATGGTAGATACTTGCAAACCTCAGTTTAAAACGGATAATCAACCTTCAACCTTCGGGGAAAATATAGGATTTTCTCGGGATAAACCGGCTATTCAAAACGGATTGTTTTACAACCAATGGATATTCATATTCATTCCACGACACATTAGATTGTACACGTTCTATACGAACCTAAGATTCATGGAATGAATGGGTTTTTAAACACGCTTTTCATAAGAAAATATAGGATTTCTTGAGGAACACTTTTCAAAAGTATTCAAAGAACACTTTTCCACCAAAACTAAATGCTTATGAACTCACCAGCTTTATGTTGATATTCTTCAAAACTGCTTGTATTCTTAGGGAATTAGTAGACATGTACTTCCAGGAGTTCGGAGAAGTCGGAGCATTAGAGTCGCGTCTTTACTATTTTACTTTTGATATGAACAAAACTATGTATTAAACAATGTAAACCTTTTTCATATATGCATTCAATGTCTGGTTGTGTTTACTATGCTTGCTATGATACAATTGTTGTGATACTACGCATGACGTCAGCCACCCCCGAACATTTCCGTCGTTCCGGTTTGGGGGTGTGACAGTACTTGTGCGCGTGCTTGATCGCGGAGGTTTTCCTGGTACGCGGGGCATACCAATGTGTACGCGGGGCATACCTGGCCCAGAAATGAAATCCTAATCCTTTGTAAGCCACCTATTTAAAGACCATTATGGCTTCTTTTCTGGCCACCATTCCTAGAGACTTAACCTCCCAAACCCTAAATCACGTTCTTGTAGCAAGAGAGTGCCTTGGAGAGCTTGCTGGTGTATTCTTGGACATTTGAGGTGAAGAGAAAGCTTTGGAAGAGAAGGAGTTAGAGCTCAAGCTTTTGGATCTAATATTAGTAGTGGGAAAAGCTTCATTTGGAGGTAAAAAGCTTCAAGCTTTCCTTCTTTTCTATTTAAGTTTTGTATGGGGATGTTTTAGGGTTTTGTCCCCTAAGTTGATAACTTTATGTGTTGATAAGCTCCTAGGACCCAAGATCTATCCCATGTTAGCTTATTTTGGGTTTCTATGTCATAAAAATCCAGTCTTGGTCATTAAAAGTTGACCATGCTTGAGTTATGGGATCCTAAAGGTTGGAAATGGAATGATTTGAGTGTTGGTGACTTCTACAGCCATGTAAAGGCTTAAAGTCACTAACTTTATGGATTAAGTGGCTTTAGAATAGTCAGATATGGAAGTTGAACGTGTGTCTTAACCGTTTAAGACCCAAAATCGAAAGGAGTATGAGATTAGGACTTACGCGGGGCGTAATCCCAGTACGCGCAGCGTAGGGGGTCACGTTCCCCGATTCTGTGAGGCTACCGGGTACACTTCGCATACAGTTTTAGTACGCGCCGCGTAACCCGATTCTGTGAGGCTACCGGGTACACTGATTTTGACTTTGCCGAAGGGAGTCGATGACTTCGTGGTTTACTGCGACGCGTCGATCACATGCATAGGCACGGTATTGATGCAGCGGGGTCGCGTGATAGCTTACGCTTCAAGGCAGTTGAAGCCTCATGAGACGAACTATCTAACGCATGATTTAGAGTTGGGAGCAGTGGTTTTCGCCCTCAAGATTTTGCGACATTACCTCTATGGGATCCGTTATACCATTTACACGGAGGTTAAGCCACATCCAAGGAGAACTTTGCACCCTTACAGGGACAAGAAAAGATATGAAGTAAAAAGAGCATGAGAGAAGTAAAGATAGAGAAGAATAGAGCATGAGAAGGACGCAAAATGAAATAATAAGAGATGATGATAATAGTATGAGTAGAGTGTGAAACGAGCCTACGAATATGCTAAGAAATAGTATGAGACGAGAAGGCAAGATTTTGGGTTGACACGGTTCCGTTATCTAGTAAGAAAAGAAATATATTTGAGGTTATCATTCTTTCCACTTTATGGATGTTGTGGTGGTATAGAAATAACGTAGTGTTCCAAGCTTTGAATATTTTTAAAAGTCTTATTATGGATTCGATTGTTCTCAATTTGTTTGAGTGGTTTTCCTTTAGAAATAAGAAAATTTTGATTCATTGGTCATTGTGGTTACAAAACCCTTTGATGCACATCTAATTGTATTTGATTTTCTAGCTTCTGTAGTTGTTTATAAAGTCTTTTAGTTGTTCAAAAAAACGAGAGCATGTGAAGAGAAAGAATAGTTTAGTTAACTATGAGAAAAAAGAGATTGGATTTACAAAGTATGAGTAAAAACGGAAAATAATGTTAGAATATGATAACATGAAAACATATAGAATACAACCACAAATGTATGTAGATATTTTTCATGTTTTGCAGTTTCATGTGTTAGTCGTTGTACGTGAGAAGTTAGGACAAAGCACAAGCAGGGACGGATCTACGGTATAAATATATAATAAGGATATGCAATTGCATACCCTTGAACTTTTACAAGAAGTACTAATTTTTTATGTTTCAAAAAAATTAGATATGGTAATCAATAGGTTGCATACACTCGTCAAAATATTTGCATGCCGTGAAAAACAGGGATGAGGACTCGTGAGAAAAATATGAAGATACTTTACAACCTTCTTTATCTTAAAATATTAAAAAATCTTCAAAAAAATTGAGAATTTATAAAAGAAATGAAACTTAATCCTAAAAAAACAACCCTTAAAAAACTCAATCCTGAAAAAACTTTGAGCGAACATCATTCGACGTTCATAAATCACCGACTACTCCAATGGTCCGGCTCCCCGAAAGTTCCTCTCCGTCATGCAGCGTAGTATGATGAAACCAGGCCTTCTAAGTCTCTTGCTCTCTGTCGGATCTGCATATCATCTTATCCCTTCATCTTTGTGGGGTTGTGTACTTCTTCCCTACAAAAATACACACTTCGTATAGTATATGGTATGTCTATTTCTCATCTTACTTTGTTAGATCTTGATGAAAAATAATACTAAAAGAAGTGTTTTTAAAATAGAAATTACTGATTCGTGCTCTACAAACTTAGAGCAAATTGTTCGCTTTGTATAGGGAATATGGTTCCTGATACACCTAAGCCTTTATCATAACGTTACCCTACCCTTGGATTAAAAAAAAATTATTATTAAAAGCCCTTTTTAACTTTATAAGTTGTCTTTTATATATACATTAATAACCTGTTACATATATAATTTTTAACAATATACAATATTAGCAAATAAATATATATATTTCGTTAACTAAAATTATAAACAAAAATAAATAAACATAGTGTATTGCTTCATTATTTGCAATTTTGGCTATAAATCTTAAATCCGTTGAACACGACACAAAGCTAGGTTGACTTATCAACTTCGTTAAACGAAAATGTAATTAATCAATTAGTTTTCATTGAATATTATCAATTATATTATAATGGCAGCAATTTTTTTTAGTTGATTTTTGCATACCCTATATTTCTTTTTTTCTAGATCTGCCACTCAATGCAAGAATTTGGACTAAACGTAGTTTTATTTTTAGTATATCCTTACTGTTTTACATTATGATTTTATTGTTAATAGTTAATACGATATTAACTTGGGATGTAAATTGTTTTGAGTTAATAGAATTCTACATTTTAATAGATAATTTTAATAACTTTCTAGAATATTTAATTGAAAAAAATCAAGTCGTTACATAATTAATACATCGGAGCATTAACATAACTTCTAACAGCAAAAGTAGTATAGCTATTTATAAAGCCATCATCTTGTTCTTTGTCATTCGAATTACTTTTGAATTATTTTTATCTTCTTTAGGTGTCTTCAGTTTACAATGATAGCCAGCCCCCATGAAAAACCATACTTTTTATCTGGATCATGCAAATACACCAAGATAATTTTACAACGAATTTATCTTAATTTAAATAATTAGATAATGACTCGCATGAAAATTAAGACATCCCTTAAATCTTATCATGGGTTTTTCCTAGTCGTTGAAACCAATGATTAAAGATTTCAAGTTACTCACCACGTTCACATCTAATACATTCTCCATTTTTATTTCCATATCATGAATTTTGTAGTTTGATTGTGAGGATGAATAAGCCATTCAGATGAAGAAGACATCCATGGAAAAGTATTTGTACGATGAAGTCGATTTTGAATAAATATCGAGTTAGTCGATTTAATTAGTTTTTTAGATCTTAAATGCATCCTAACAGACATATATTTGTCACTTGACTTTGTGATGTAAATCTACTCAAAATATTCTTAATGTTCCGTGCTTGAATTTTCATATGGATATTGAGATGAGTTGACGCATGTCACTTATATTGTTTGATTTACCATTTTTTTGTTAACAGCTTAACCATGTGATCAAAAACATTGTTGCCAAAACCAACTAGCATGCATGATTTAACAAATAAAATGCAAATTTCGTCAAAAAAAACATTAAGCAAAACCGTAAAACTTACAAGAGATAAGGTTTTCCAACATATAATCCATAAAATGAGAAAAATAAAAAGATGTTATTTTTTAAGATAAAGAAAATATGAATTGATGTAAATTAGAACACATTTAATTTATAATTTAATTTAAAGAAGTTGACATGAATGCATCATCAAATAACAGAACAAACTTAAAGAAATGCTCTAATGAACCTCTGCCCATTCTCCCCCTTCTTCTCCATTCCTCCACCACCATACTCACTGTTACTTCTCCTTCTTTAATCCGACAATGAACCCATTTCGCATTTCCATACGAATACCCACAATTGCAAATCTAAATTGTATCCACAAAACCCGAAATCTCTAGATCTGCACAACAAATTCAATGAGGTCATGTTTGTTTCCATTTCAATGCATTGAATCACGAAATTTCACAATGAAGTTATCATCTTGTTCTGGGGTTTCTCCCACGGATTGAATCCATTTGGGAAATTTGAGGTATTGGGGGAAGAAATCAATGACGAGTCCGTCATTGGATGCACGATCATCGAGTGTTGAGTGTTTAGGTTCGTTGGTGGTACGACCTTCAAGTTACGGGAGTTCACAAAACGGAGGATTGGTATTACAGCAACAAATGAATCAACCAATTCCACCCTCTAAGAAAGCTTCGAAGATGTTTGTTAATAAAGAGAAGGATAATGCGTTCCTTTGGATCTTTAAATTCGCTCCTCGAAAGAAGGTTGGAATGCTGCTCTTGTCTCTTGCTTCCTTCGCAGCTATGTTATGGATACTTTATATTGCCAAAGGTCTGCTTTTCATTTCCCCCGAAATCCATACATAATAACAATATGTTCAATTTGATTGGTGTTCTTATACCTCTTATTTGATCTGATTCCAACTTCATTTCCTAGTGTTCATTAGCAATTGTTCATCAGTCAAGTTGCTGTCTCCATTGTTTAGGGTTAAAACTTAAAATCATTAACAGAAGTTGAATACAAAAATCAAAACCCTCTCCATTGTTCTTCACTTCTTCCTATCAATATCTACACCTTTTAGTAATTTTGAAGCTATCATTATCTACTCTTTTTTATATTTAAACCATTTTATATGATTGCGACTCAAGTTATACATTCTGAAAATCTTTTCATTTTATATAAAGTTGATAACTCTGTTAATGTTTTAATGAATTATTAGTTCCTCTTTGGGCCATTTTGAAGGTGAATTTAACCAGAACAATTCAACTGTAAGATTTTCTCAATATTCTTCATCAAATAGTGGTCAAGAGCTTAATTCTGCATTAGCAAATGATCAAATGAAGATTACAGTTAGTCATGATGATAACTTTGTTAACCACCACCCTCCTCCACCACCGCCCATCGCCACCCACCCTCCTCCTCCACCACCACCTATCACCGCCCTCCCTCCTCCACCACCTGTTTATTTCACCGGATACGCCCTTCCTCCCCGACATCCTTGTAATACCTTCACATTACCTCCTCCACCAGCCGACAAGAAAAGAACTGGCCCTCGACGTAAGTTCACTACTATTAAATGCAAGAAATAGCAATCTACTTTCATATATTTATGTATTATAGCATCCTACTTTCACTTCTTTCTATTACATCATTGTACTTTAATAAATATACCCAATTATAGCATTGTACTTTCTAGAAATAAAATTATGATGCTATAATAAACAAATATATAAAAGTACATTACTATTTCTTGCATTTAACCCGCTATTATATCGTCCTACTTTCATTTCATTTGTTTTTTTACTTTCATTTTATGTTTCAGCTTGTCCAGTGTGTTACCTTCCAGTAGAAGAAGCTATTTCTTATATGCCAAAAGCACCATCTTTTTCACCTGTTCTTCAAAATTTAACTTTCATTCATGATGAAAGTTTTACCAAAAGTGAATTTGGAGGCTCAGATTTTGGTGGGTATCCTACTTTAAAACAAAGACATGACTCTTATGATGTAAAAGAATCAATGTCTGTGCATTGTGGGTATGATTCTTTTTCTCTAAAGACTTACGAATTGTTTTATTTGTTTCAGTTTTATCATATCACTAATCATTTTCCATTAATACATAATAAAGATTTGTGAGAGGAGATAGGCCTGGACGCAAGTCAGGATATGATATTGCTGATTCAGATCTTCTTTTAATGGACACGTGTCATGGAATTGTGGTTTCATCTGCAATATTTGGTATCCTTGTAGAACATTTCAGTACACATTTACACACACTCCTTGAATCATGAATAGTGTGGTGATTATTTGAATTTTATACAGGGGCTTATGATTTGATTCAACAACCGAAGAATATAAGTGAAACTGCAAAACAAAATGTGTGCTTTTTCATGTTTGTTGATGAAGAAACAGAAAAGTTTTTGAGGAATTCAGGTCATTTGGATGATAGCAAAAAGATTGGATTGTGGAGAGTTGTTGTTATCTACAACCTCCCTTACACTGACCCAAGGCGCAATGGGAAGGTAAATAACAGATATGTTTTTACCTTTTTCCTTTATTAAAAAAAAACAAAAAAAACTTTTTTTAATAAAGTTAGGTTTGTAATTGTGACAGGTTCCAAAACTTCTATCACATAGGCTTTTCCCAAATGCTAAGTACTCTATATGGTTGGATGGGAAACTTATGCTTATGGTTGACCCTTATCAAATCCTTGAAAGGTGAGTGTTTTTATTTGTTATCTGAAGAATTTAATACAGAAAGAAGTTTTGTTCAAATTTGAAACATGACTTATGTAAATTCAGGTTTTTGTGGAGGGAGAATGCTAGTTTCGCTATATCTAGACATTATAAACGGTTTGATGTGTTTCTAGAAGCTGAAGCTAATAAGGCGGCTGGGAAGTACGATAATGCTTCCATTGACTTTCAGATTGACTTTTATAAACGGGAAGGCTTAACGCCGTATTCTTCCGCCAAGCTTCCTATTAGAAGTGGTACGATGATTGTATATATGATCGTTTAGCGTCTAAAAAATCAGATTTTTGAAACTGATTATTGGAATAATTTTTTTTTTGTGACAGATGTGCCAGAAGGATGTGTTGTAATACGTGAACACATTCCGATTTCCAATCTTTTTACTTGTCTTTGGTTCAACGAAGTTGACCGGTTTACTTCTCGAGATCAAATTAGCTTTTCCACGGTTCGGGACAAGATCCGGTCCAAGACTAATTGGACCGTTAACATGTTTTGGGACTGCGAAAGGCGAAACTTTGTAGTTCAGGTATATATATATATATGATATGCTTTGTGTTTCTTGAATCAAAGCGTTGACTTCTCAGGTCAAACCAGTTCGTTTTTGAAACGCGACATTGATATGGATTTTGTTTCAAATTCGGCATTTAACATGTTACGTTTTCAATAATTTCTTATTAATTTTAATGTAGCCGATGAATTTCTTTCAAAAACTTGAAAAAACCATAAAAAATTGAATCTTGAAATCAGTTTTGTTGACCCATGATGCAGGGATACCATCGAGATGTTTTGGAGCATTGGGCGCCGCCGCCACCACCACGGCTTTCTGGTGCACCGGTCCTTTTCAATATTACTGATAATAAACTACAAAAAAGATCGACGGAAAACGTTGTAAGTAATTCGAGAAAAACACCGTCGACAAAACGCCGTAAAGAGAAAAGATCAAGTTCGAGGCGACACCGGAAAATTGACCCGGGGAATAGAAACGCCACCAGTCGAAGTCGGAATTACATGTAAGCAAAAGGATATATCATTCTTTTGATCCCTGTTTAGAATATTAATTTTTGGGCTCATACTTTTTTATGTTTTTTTTTTTTTCTTTTTCATTGTTTAGATTTATCAGGTTACCATTTTTTGTTGTATATACAATTTTGGAAATTTATAATAAACTCTGTTTATTACACATATGATTTGTGTATTATACGTGTTTATTTAAAGAAAATTAATATCAAACTATAAACATTAAGTAATCTCTTGTGAGTGTCGAGGTCCTTTAAAAAATCAACAATTAGTAAAATAGCATCCAATAACCATTAAACTTTGGACAAAAACTAAGTTAGAGGTAAAATAGTCCAAAATTTCTAACAAACACCAAATTAAATGATTTAAAAGTACAAAAAATCATTATTTATTTATTTAAACATTATTTGGATAATTGGATTACAAAACCAAAGATGTTACATGCTTTTCAATTATCAGATATAAATTATAAAAACATATATGTTACATGGTTTTCGAAGGCATTAAAAAAAATAAAAAATAAATAAAAAAAAAACTTTTAATATTAAAAAAGTTAGATATGAAGTATGATGGTATATTACACAAATAACTATTAATATGAAGTAGGATGCAATATAAAAAGAAAGATGTTACATGGTTTAAACCCCATATGGATGTTGTATTAGCTTCACTTTAAGTTGGATTCTGCTTGTCAGCAGTATTATATGATGAGGAACAGAAATTAGGGTTTAATGAATCAACAAAAACATAGAGGAGATTGTAAGGAAGACGAAGATGAAATTGAACTAATTGATTAAACAATACCACAATCTAAAAGATTGCCCAGGGATCTCCCTCTCTCTAAGCCGAAAGCTAAAGAGCCAATACAAAAGTATTACACTATCCGATTTCTAGACTACCCACAAATGAAATCATCTTCCCTATTTATTACTCTCTCTCTCTCTCTCTCTCTCTCTAACAGATTTTAGCCATATTCCTGATTTACCATTTTACTCCTTCTAGATTATGCATGTAGCAACTTTGGTTCATTTGCCCTTTTAATTACCATATTAGTATTTGTATCATTACTCACGCCTTCAAAACAAGTCTTGTCCTCAAGACTTGCTTCTGGAAATTGACTCATAATATTCAAATTCAACTCGACCTCTCTAGTAGCTTCTCCATCCGGTTGACCCTTCCAATGGATTAACCACTTGTGTACTTGGTCCAGCCGATTCTCAATGGTACAAGTAACCAAGAAAAACATAGGAATAACCTCATAAGCAGCCTTAGTTTTCAAATCGGGAGGTAAAAAACTTGAGCCAGGATGCACATTGGACCTTTTCCAGAAATCATCCCATTCGTGCCCTTCTTTGATTACCTCTTCAACCCTCACCCTACCTGGTACGTCTTGCATCCCCATTGGTGGGGGTGTCTGACCACACACATTCTCAACGGAAGACATCCCAATGCCCTGATTGAAAATAAAACTAAACCATAATCCAGCTCCAATAATCGACTTAAACCATGAGTGTAACTTTTGTATATGATGACAATTCACTTCCCAGACAAAAAATAGCAAATCACATAATGAAGGACCATCTAGGGAAGACTTATCTCTTAATGAAAACACACTATGGCATGAAGCTAAAGAACATTGAGGCGTGCCCAACCCTTGAAGATGAACTGTGACATCGTTATAAACAAATTGCATCCAAGACATATCCCAATTGTGGATCACTTTTCCAAAAGATGTGAGCCATTCCAATCCAGTGTCACCATACTTAGCAACTAATGACTTCGCTTCAATTGAACAGCTACCTAGTCGAATGTTTAACTTCACACATAACTCAGTCACAAACACTGAGTGATTATCACTCAATCCTGATTGAGAATTGGCAACAACTCCAAAATTTGACACGACTCCGCAGAAACCTTTTTTGACAGTTGATCAACTGATGCCTGATTAGCATCCCATGCATAGTGATCACAACCTTCTTTGCATTTATGACATTTGTGAAACAAGCCGACTTGAGAACCACCATGAAAACTTAGGTCCTTTTTCTTTCGTTCCTTCCATTCCGTGCGACTCGATGATCTAACTCTCCGATCCTGTTGAAACACGTAAGCCATTGCCGGCGTTGGGGAAGGTGATGGCAGCTGATTAGGATAAACGTGGTTATTTTCATTCCAATTAACAAAGCATTGATCAGTGGCCTTATTAACTAGTGGGCTTATATTTTGTTTGCTCGTTAAAACCCAGTCTATCTTTCGATTTAACAATTGTGAGCCCCATGAATCAATTGCAGCCCAATTGTCATTTTTAAGCCCATTGGAAGGGTAACCTAGATAACCCCATTCTAAACGGTTGTTAAACGGAGTCGTTTTCTCCCAAGAGCTCCGTTTGGACTCCATCATCGTTCCCCTGTGCTTTACGTCAATTCCCGGCGGCAACGGTGGTGGTGGCGGTGATGATGGTGGTATCAGAAACGACAGGGGTGTTTTGGAATCCCGTTCCAAATCAATGTCATGGCAGTCATGACCGTCGTCACCCAAATCCAATAGAGATGTCGAATTCCAACCATGTTGCATAGACCCTGTCACGCTTAATTGGAGACGACGACGAAGGGAGTTAGGAGAAGTACCATTAATCTCGAAGTGGAGATTCGTGTTCTGAATCTGCTCTTGGTAATCAATATTCTTCACTGTTCCTGGAAAACTCTCCACCTCTTCTGATGTATTCAGAGTGGAATTTCCACCGGAGAAACACACAAAACCCTCATTCATAGGAACATGGGTGACCGGAGAAGTACATGAGAAATCTGAAATTCCAGAAGACATATCCTTAGGAGCATCATCAATCACAGGTTCTAGTAACATCACGATCGAATCTGGAAAAGTGCTAATATCAGAGAAAAACTCAGGATCCTGTTGCTTCATCCAAGTCAGCATCGCCTTTTGAAATTCACGTTCTTCTTCGCGTTCACGATCCTGGATTGTGCGAATCTCATTCATAGTAGCTTTAATCTTCAAAATCTGTTCCGCATGGTCATCTAAACGTAAATCCTGAGATCGAGTCTCAACTGTTGGCTGAACCATCCTCCTCATATGGTAGAATGTGGCAGGTCAAGGGCAGGTCGGACCAATGATGAGGAACAGAAATTAGGGTTTAATGAATCAACAAAAACACAGAGGAGATTGTAAGGAAGACGAAGATGAAATTGAACTAATTGATTAAACAATACCACAATCTAAAAGATTGCCCAAGGATCTCCCTCTCTCTAAGCCGAAAGCTAAAGAGCCAATACAAAAGTATTACACTATCCGATTTCTAGACTACCCACAAATGAAATCATCTTCCCTATTTATTACTCTCTCTCTCTCTCTCTCTCTCTCTCTCTCTCTCTCTCTCTAACAGATTTTAGCCATATTCCTAATTTACCATTTTACTCCCTCTAGATTATGCATGTAGCAACTTTGGTTCATTTGCCCTTTTAATTACCATATTAGTATCTGTATCATTATATCACAAAATTGTAGGTTTGACAATTTTGGAAGGTGTATTTTGTATAAACTGTGGATATTATTTAACATGTGGAGCCTTGTCGAAAATCATAGGGGATTAGGCAAAGTTATCCTAAAGTACAATGTTTAAGTGGAAAATGAAGAGCATCAAACAGTTTAAAAGTACAATGTTGTAAAGGGTATATTTTTTGCAAAAACAGTTTAAAAGTATGTTCGATGCAATAACTTACACAATAATCCAAATACCCCTCACAAAGGAATGGCGCCCCATAGCAACCCGCATAAAACACTGACAACTAACATCATTTCACATAGGACATTCATTCAGACATAAAAATCACTCAATCAGATCACAAAATTGTAGGTTTGTGTGGAAAATTTAGGAAGTAAGATGCATAAACAAAGTTTATTAAAATGTGCAATCTTTTCTAGCATTAAGTACACACAACGCAATAAGTCTATAAATAGAAATATAGAATCTGATCATCTTTCAGGGGAAAATTGTCCAAATCCATTAAGCAATGAAAGCAACACAGAAGGTACTTTTCCCACTCATAATTTTTGTTTTTTTTTAATATCTTATCAATAGTAAGCGAGTGTGGATCTTTCACATAGTAACATACTAAAACACACTTAAATAACATTCATAAGATGATATACTATACACTACTAAAATGAAAATCAATTATTTTTCTATATTTACCATTATATCCCTACATTATACCTGCATATATAGTTTGGAGATGAGAAACACAAACATAAAAAAATATTAGTTTGGGCTAATTCATTAAAGTATGGGGATAAAGCCCTTGCACTAACACTGAAATCAGATGTTCCATGACTAATTGATAATTTCAATTACCATGCAATTTAAAGTATCATGCAATCAATTAAGGGCCAACCAAAGAAAGACAAGTGCGTCGACAAAATTTCAAAACTGTCCTTAAAGGAAGCATCAATTTTTTTTAATCATATTAAGTACTTCATAAGACGAGAGAAGATGATTGTCTTGTACTAAGTTTAGCAATCAATAAAGGGTAAAATGGAGATGTTAAACGATAAAATGGTCAATTTGAACCATTCCTGATTCTACCTAGTAACAAAAACACATTTATGGTAAAAACTAAAAAGCATAATAATTTGTAATATCAATTTGATACATTTTATGTCAGATTAACTACATAGTCAATTTTATATGTCACATTAAGATGAGCAGATTAATACCTGGTTTTGTAGTTGACATAAACACGATGACTTGAAGCTGGAGAAAAGACTAAGGGGGTATTTGTTTTATCTTTTAAAACATCTTTTAGCGTTTAGGAAAAGATAAAAAAGCTAAAAGATGTTTAGTAAAAGCATAAAAGCTACTTTTTGATATAAGAAAAATGAATTTTTTGAAAAAGTCAGATAAACCTGATTTTTTGGAATTTTTCCTAAAAGGACTTTTGCCCTCTCAAAAGCTAAGACAAACACATCCTAACAATTAAGAATAATTTAGGAGAGGACTCAATGCAAGATCCACAATATGTGGTCACTGCTCTGAAGCTAAAGAGGATTCAGATCACATTCTCATCTCCTGTCCGTATGCAAAAGATGTTTGGGATTGGACTTACAATTGGTGCAGTATACCTAAGCACCAATGAAAAACAGTCGGCGAGGTGATCGAGTTAGCAAACTCATGGGAGAATTGTCGCATTATGAGAAACAACTTCATCAACATTGTGTATGGGACACTATGATGGATATGGAAAGCAAGGTGTGCTAGAGTTATCAAAGGTAACCATATCCCACCAGTCAAAGTAGTGGAGATCATCAAGTCACAGGTTTTTACCTGGGTAAAATATAAGAGGTTCAAATGTTCAATTAAATAGGTTGAATGGGTCAATTGCCCTTTGTTATGCTTGTAAAACTTAAACATGTACATGTTTTCTTTTGATATTGCTATGACCGTCTAGCTCCTTGTTAGGCAGACAGCAGGTTTCTAATTAATATATTTATTTGTCGGTTCCACTACTAGAAAAAAGGCCTTTTACGACGCGCAAAACAACGCTCTTTGATTTATGTTACGCATTAGAGAGCGACCTTAAAAAAGTGTCATCTCTTCAAAAAATTTAAGGATTTAGGTCGCGCATTACTGAGTGCCCTTAAATTAGTGTCTCATGTAAAAATATTAAAAAAACGGAAGGCACTTGTGTGCCGTATGTGAATGTCGTTTTATATTTTCTTTTACGAAACGCGCGTCTCGGTGGGAAAATGAAATCCCCAAAATTTTTAAACCCCACCTTCTTCTCCCTCGTCTCCACCCCTCGTCCACATCCACTACCTCCAATCCTCATTGCCTCTTCCAGCCTTAAACTATGGCGATGCACCTTCCTTCTCGAAGAATGCTAAATTTATGACCATCATCCGATTATGCGAGCCCAATGAATTGACGTAGACGAAGAAAATTATGGATCAATCGCTTCACATCATGTTTAAGGTTAAGGGTTTGAGATTTCTTCCAAATCGAACCTCACACTAAATGGTTCGATCTCCTCTCTTTTTAGATTGTTCCCTCTACTGATGCCTCCACCTTCTACCATCGATGTTGATCTTTGAATTAGCAAGAAGAAGCCCTAGGGCCTCCGCCTTCACCCACGTTCTCACAGTCGATGGTGGAGCTAGAGAGAGAGTTTATGGTGTGTAAAATACAACATTCTTAAACCAGGGGATTCAAATAAATAGCATAACCCAAACCCTTTACGGTAATTGGGAGCCAATCAGGGCAAAACGCAACCCTCAGACCACTTTTTCTCTCAAGAAACCTACGGTACGTACAAATTTTCTTTTCTTCCTCTTCCTTTTCTTATCGGTATTCTTTCTCCTCCCTTCCTCTCCGGTGGTCGCCATTGTTGCCTTCTTTGACCAGCCCTACCCTTCCCTTTTCCCCAACCTAGGAGCATCTGTCGACGACTTCTCTGCTTCATCCGTTCAACAGATTGTCGATCACTGCCTCTACGATACCATCAACTGCTCCAGACCTATGAACAACATGTCTAAATCTCGCATCTAGATAGTGAAGATAAGGACATGTTGAATATTGAGAGGCAGTTTATGGGCGTGAAGCCCTAAATGTGATTGTGTGTGAAGGAATGGAATTAAGCATTCCTCCCTGTATGATACATTTGTTGCATTATCTGCTTGCCCCTTCCCCTGAACCATGGCCTTCTTCAATCCAAACCAGGTATGAACAGATATCTTTGCGTGTGTATGTGTAATTTGATTCTCTGTGTGTATGTGTAAATGGCCATTTTAACTTGTGTTCATATATACACAAGCAAATTATACATCTTATGCCTCAAAGGAGCTCTATGGAAATCTATTATAACTTGAAGTTGATTCAATTATTCCACTGTTTATGCAGCTTTCTTCAAACAGTTTGGCGAAATCCTGAGAATTAGGATAGCTTTCTTCAAACAACTTTTTTAAAACATAGTCCAATTCACTCACCTGTTAACTTAAGTTTTTGTCAAATCTAATGAGGAGACTTGAACTTACTATCTATGAAAAATATGTACAGGTTGCAAACATTGTTGCTGAAACAATGCATAATTACCTTTTGTATGAGTATTTGTTGCAATTATAGCTCATCCCTCCAAAACGTGTTCATCCTAAATTGTATGTAGACATTTCAATATAATATTCCAGTCAAAGTTGTTGACTTGTACTTATGAACTTGTGTTTATGATTTCACCTGTTAACTAAAGTTTTTGTCAATTCTAATGAGGATAAATTTGTTGCTTTATTACACTATTACTGCTTATTTGATCATGGAAGTAGCAGGAACTTGCTAGTAATGATGAAGTCTTTTAGGTTTTTGGTTGTGATTCCACCTGAAAATGTAACATACTGGAAAGATTCCACGTGAATGAACCCAAATCTTATGCCAGCTGTCTTGCAATGCTTAATGGCCATTGTTCATCGTGCTTTTGAGACTGCATTATCATGGCTGGTGATTCTTTTTCTTATGAATTCCTTTATATTATGCATTTTTATTTTTATGTGTGGAATGTTAGGTGAATCTTGTAATGGATGCAGGAGGCTCAAATATGCGAGACAGGAGATGCTGCTGAGGTCAGAGAGTCAACTCTGGTTGTCCATGCTTGTTTTCTCATAAAGAGTTTGTCTGTTAGAGAAGAACACATTCGGGATGTATCTGTTAATCTGTTGTCTCAATTGAGAGAGAGATTTCCACAGGTAAACTGTTGACCTGTATTACAAATTTATGAGCTTTTATATGCTATCTCCTGTAAAAAATAAATTACATTACCTATAATGGTAAAAAGAGTAAATGATTTGCCCTTTACTTTAAGTAACATTCTATTGGGTGCAGATTCTGTGGAAATCATCTTGTTTGGATTCTCTTTTGTTCTCTGTGAATGGTGATCCACCTTCATCTCTCGTGAATGATCCTGCTTCAGTAGCTTCTGTTCGCTCTTTGTACCAAAGCGTTGTCAAGGAGTGGATTGTTGATTCGCTATCCTATGCTCCATGCACCACCCAAGGTCTTCTTCAGGTTTGTGACGTTAATGACCATATTACCC